TTTCCTTCTAGTGAGTCCAGGGCGTTCTCATTTGGGTTGAAACTCGTAGCATGAAAGTCTATAGTCCGTTTTTGTATAATCCCGTGTGAGTTTGGATGTAGTCGTCTCGGAGTTTTTATTCTGCCGCTGTCTTGCTGGTTCCAAGCTGGTGGAGCTGATTAGTGGCTTTGCGAGTCGCCCAGGTGCTCAGGATCGGGTCTGCAGTTTAAGCGGTTTGTCCCTCACCCAGGTATTGAGGATCAGATTTGCAGTCTTTCAGCAGCCTGGACTCCACTCACTGAGCTGAGCCGTCCAGCTTTACCTCCAGGGTTTAGTGTGGGGCAAAGCGGCTCCTGCAGCCCGAGGAACTTCCAGGGGCCTGGGTTTCCCCGGGAGTTCCCTTCTGGGAAAGGGAACTCTCCAATCGCCGATTCCCTCTCAGTTATCTACCTTCTAGTGAGTCCAGGGTGTTTTCGTTTGGGTTGAAACTTGCAGTAAGTGAGTCTATAGTCCGTTTTCAGTCCTCAATTCCTGTGCAGGCTTGGATGCGGTGATCTCGCGTTGAAACTCTTAGTAAATGAGTCTATAGTCCGTTTTCAGTTCTCAATTCCTATGCAGGCTTGGATGTGGTGATCTCGGCATCTTTACTCTGCTGCCATCTGATTAGTGCTGTTTTTCTGAAAAAGGCCAGGTAGTAAATATTTCAAACTATTCAAGACATATAGTCTGTGTGTGGACTACTCAGCTCTTCCATTGTCATATAAGAGCAGTATAAACAACACATAAAAAATGAACTTGAACATTTTTCAATAATATTTTACTTACAGAAAACCAGCATCAAGTTGGATTTCGCCTGTTACTCTCTAGTACTCTGGCTACCTCTTGGTTTCAATGTTGAATTTTTACCTGGTTATTTCTTTACCACTTTTAAGGAAGTGATTTTTAAAAAAGATTTATTTTATTTATGCATACAACAGGTGGGGTACAGGCCGGAGGGTTGTGAGGATTCACCAGAGACAGGATGGGGAACAGAACAGGCAGATTAACCAAAATAAACTGCTAAGGGAAGTAGCACGCAAGACAGCCAAGGTCTGCTGTGCCATGTGGGTCACCTCCTTGGCTAGGGATCGAATTTATGCTAAAGTGGCTGCAGACAGCTTCATAAGTGCCCTGCTTAAACCCCTTGTGTCACCAGGGAGGTCCCTATAAGGAGATGACTTTTACATTTTAAGACAGTATCTTTCATGTTATTAGAAGAGTGATTTTGCAGTTTACTGGAAATGGAAAGCCAGTGTAAGTTACTATGAATGAATTCCTAGTGGTATATTTATTTAGCAGGAAATGTGTATGGCTTTCATTTGAGACAAGTATAATACAAAACATTCATGTAAAGAAAAATGTATGGCTATTTATTTAGATCATATAATAATTACTGATCTATTTTGTCATTAATGAAATCTTTTTTTAATTTTTTATGTTAAATGACGATTGATTTTTACTATTTTATTATTTGGAGGAGGTAATTATGTTGGGTCACATTTAAAACAGCTTCCCAAGAATGATGTGTACAGTTGTGTATACTGACAGATGTTCCTAACAGTTCATCTGATAATATTCAAGGTATTCTAATTCATGTGTTAAAACATGGATGTATAAGATACTGTCTCTTTCCTCACATTGCTTACCATCTGCGTGGGTTGATGATCTCCAAGGATTAAATAGGTGAGGCAACTTGGTGGTAAAATTCATTTCTGTACATATATATTAAGGACCTAAGTTGTACAAGGCACTGCTATTTTTTTGGGGTTACAAAGATAATTATCAAAATGAGTTGGAATATTTACTAACTAATCTTGCAGTATATGCCCTGTACATGCTCTGTGATGACTTACATCTTGAGGATCAATAGAATCAAATAGCTAGAAGGAAAAGGCCTAAGGGGGAAATGATCTGAGCAAAGACTTAGAGGATATTAGTGTAAAATTCACTTTATTTTCCTTTCTTTATAATTAAAAAAAAAACATGCCTCCATAACTAGCTTAATTACATTTGATATATGCCTGCTTCTTTATTATGCTAATGTTTTCATCCCTTACTAATCTGCTACAAAAACTGAGACATCTTTTGAATTTGATTAATTTAACTGTTAAGTTATGCCTTTTCTTATTTAAATATTATGCCATGTTGGTTACCTTAGCCACTAAGCCTTTCTCAGCTTTCTGGCAAGTTACAGGAAACTTTGTCAGAAAGGGATCCACTATATGAATGAATGAATGAATGTGAGAAAGGATGAATGTAAATTCATTGTAAAGTCTTTTTTTTTTAAGATTTATATTCATTTATTTATGCATACAAGAACTAGGGTGTAGTCCAAAGGCATAGGGAATGAGAGGATTCACCAGAGAAAGAGTGGGGAGCAGAACAGGATGATCTACTGAAATACTATGTCAATGAGAGCAGCAGGTCAGACAGGAGAGGTCTCCTGTGCCATGGAGGTTAGCTCCCTGGCTGGAGATCAAACTCAGCCCATATCAGTGATAGCATGATAGTGCTGAGACTTAACCACTAGGCCAACATGGAGACCCCTAAATCTCTATAAAATAAAGCCCATGGTTTTAACGTACTATCTTTCTACATGCATATTCCATATGTTATGTTACATAGATAGATATTAACATAGGTATTAACAGGTAAAAATACAGGTTTCAAATTTTAGAGTTGCACAAATTATTAAAGTAGCATGATTATGTTGTAATAAATAATTTTTTTTTAGCTACCAACCAATAGTTGACTACGTAGATGCTCAATTTGAGGCCTATCTCCAAGAAGAACTGAAGATTAAGCGGTCTCTCTTTAACTACCATGATTCTCGTATCCATGTGTGCCTATACTTCATCTCACCGACAGGTCACTCTCTGAAGACACTTGATCTCTTAACAATGAAGAGCCTTGACAGCAAGGTATGATAATATAATCAACTATCATGGTTGGATATTTATTTGTAGCTGTTAAAGTATTTTTATTATTGTTATTGTATATATATCATAATTTCTATTCAGTAAAATTGTTAATACTTTCCATAACTTTTCATCTCAGATTGTTTTACAGAGAAATTTAATTTAGAAAATGAGATGCAAAGAAAAAATATTGACATATAAGTTTAGTCCAGTTCTAGTGACTAAATTCCAGAATATATATTTCATTTATATGTTTTATTTTTTACTGAGGTAATACTGGTTTACAATGTTTGTATATGACTGAAAGGTATAGGATCTCCTTCAGATGTTGTTACCACATATTACACCAACCATCAGAACTTGCGTAGTCTTCCACCAGACTCCATTGTACTCACTCCATACTTTTTAAATTTTGCCATTCCTTCTCTGATTCCCATTCACTTTTTTTTTTTTTAAGGTTTTTCTTTACTTATTCATAGAGTTGGGGTACTGGCCAGAGATGCAAGGTGAGAGGCTTCACCACAGACAGAGAGGGGAGCAGAATAGGCAGATTGATGAAGTACACTGCTGAGGGGAGCAGCGGACGGGTCAGGAGAGATCTGCTGCACCATTTGGGTCACCTCCAGGGCCGAGGATCAAACTCACGTTGAAGCTGCAGCCAGCATACAATACTGCGCCCCAACCTGTTGCACCACCAGGGAGGGCTCTCTGGTACCTCATTTTTTTTTTTTCTATTTTTTTCCTTAAATATAATAGCTTATTTTCACATCATTTTGTACATTTTTTTTTTCATCTCAATTATAATCACCGTGGGTTTTCCATCACCAAGTCACCCATGTGCCATCACCACAGTTATGTGCACTTCCTTCCCCCACCCCAACTTTTGATCCTATTCTATTCCCCACTCCACCCCCACAAAATGTATCTGATATATGACTGTTCATTGTTCTTATTATTTTCTCGCCTGGTCCATTATACTTTTGCTGTGAGCGAAACCATCCGGTATTTTTCTTTCTTTCTGGCTTATCTCACTAAGCATGATCTATTCCAGCTCCATCCGAGTTGCTGCAAAAGACATGTGTTTCTTTTTTTTTTTTGGTTGCTGAGTAATATTCCATTGTATGTATGTACCACATCTTTTTAATACAGTCATCTACTTTTGGGTGTTTGGGCTGCTTCCATGTTTTTTCAATTGTAAATAAAGCAGCAGTAAACATGGGGGTGCAGATATCTTTTTCAATCAGTGTTTTTGTGTCTTTTGGGTAGATACCTAGGAGTAGGATTACTGGGTCGTAGGGAAGCCCCATGTTAAGCAGTTTGAGGAACCTCCAAACAGTTTTCCATAGCGGTTGTACTAGTTTGCATTCCCACCAGCAGTTCAGGAGAGTTCCTTTTTCACCACATCCTCGCCAACATTTGTTGTTGCCACTTGTTTTAAGAGGTGCCATTCTCACTGGGGTGAGGTGGTATGTGACGCACTCTCTGCCAACAGAGAGACGCCACAATATATCTTCTTCTGGACCCTTTATTCTTCTCTCTCTCTCTCTCGCACGCGCCCACCTCCTGCCTGCTTCTCTCTCTCCCCCTGCTTGCTTGCTTCTCTCTCTCTCTCTCTAGCTTTCCTCCTCCCTGCTGCCTTCCCCCGCTCCTCCTGCTTGCTTCCTTTGCTTGCTCTAGCTTTTGCTGAAACTGGTTCTAAAGGTCCCTGGTTTTTGCCGAGACTGGATCTAAAGGTCCCTGGTTCGTTCCCGGGTTTCGGCACCACTTGTCCCTAGCTTTTACCCCTGGTTCGTTCCCGGGTTTCGGCACCATTTGTGACGCACTCTCTGCCAACAGAGAGATGCCCCGATATATCTTCTTCTGGACCCTTTATTATTCTCTCTCGTGTGCGTGCCCACCTCCTGCCTGCTTCTCTCTCTCTCCCCCTGCTTGCTTGCTTCTCTCTCTCTCTCTCTAGCTTTCCTCCTCCCTGCTGCCTTACCCCTGCTCCTCCTGCTTGCTTCCTTCACTTGCTCTAGCTTGCCTCCTCTCTGCTGCCCCCCCCCCAGTCCATTATGGCAGTTGCTTAAATAGCATTCATTGACTAATCAGAGCACTGCTCACGTGTACATTGGCCAATCAGAGCACTGCTCACGTGTACAACAGGCGGGTTTGGCTGCTGAATCATGGGGCTGGGGTCCCGGGCAACCAGACAGTGGTATCTCATTGTGGTTTTAATTTGCTTACTACGAGTGATGTTGAACATTTTTTAATATGTTTGTTGGCCATCTACATTTCCTCTTTGGAGAAGTGTCTTTTTAGCTCTTATGTCCATTTTTTGATGGGGTTGTTTATTTCGTCAGTTCTCTGTATATTTTTGTGATCAGTCCTTTACCACTGGTTTTGTGTGAGAAAATTAGTGGGCTGTCTGTTTTTTGTAATGTCTCTTTTGATGTACAAAAGCTATTTAACTTGATGTAGCCCCATCTATTTGTCTTTGCCTTCACTTGGGTGCTCTATCTTTAAAGATGTCGCTGAAGTGTATTTCGTGTAGTGTTTGGCCCATCTTTGTTTCCAGGTATTTTATGGTTTCCGTTCTAGGTCTTTAATCCACTTCGAGTTGATTTTTGTGAATGGAGTGAGGTAGTGATCTAGTTTCATTTTTTTTGGCATGTAGCTTCCCAGTTTTCCCAGCACCATTTGCTGAACAAACTTTCTTTGTTGCATTGTATCTTCTTTGCTCCTTTGTCAAAAATTAGCTATCCATAAACTTGTGGGTTTTATATTTGAATCCACTGGTCTGTATGTCTATTCTTGTTCCAGTACCATGCAGTTTTGATTATTATGGCTTTGTAGTATAGCTTGAAGTTTGGGATTGCAATGCCTCCATTTTGTTTTTTTTTTTTAGACATGAGGGTTTTGACTATTCGAGGTCTTTTGCTGTTCCATATGAATCCCATCAACATTTTTTATATTTCTTTGAAGAATGTCATTGAGATTTTTATTGGGATGGCATTAAATCTGTATATTGCTTTTGGCAGGATGGCCATTTTGATGATGTTAATTCTCCCAGTCCATGAGCAGGACACATTTCATGGTGTCTTCTTGTATTTCTTTTAACAGTGTTTTGTAATTTTCTTTGTAGAGGTCTTTCACCTCTTTTGTTAGGTTGACTCCCAGGTATTTGACTCTTTTGTTTTAATTGAAATGAGGATTTTTTTTTAATTTCTGCTTCTTCTGATTGGTTGTTTGTGTATAGGAACGCCTTTGATTTTTGTGTGTTGATTTTATATCCTGCTACCTTGCTAAACTGGTTGATGGTTTTGATTAGTTCCTCTTTGGAGTTTTTAGGGTTTTCCATGTAAATTAGCATATTGTCTGCAAATAAGGATAGTTTTAATTCTTCTTTCCCTTTCTTTCTTTCTTTGGATTCCTTGTATGCCATTTCCCTGTCTTATTACTCTGGCTGGAACTTCCAACGTTATGTTGAAGAGCAGTGGCAATAGTGGGTGGACACCCTTGTCTTGTTCCTGATTTCAAAGGAAAGGCTTTCAGCTTTTCTCCGTTGAGGATAATATTGACTGTGGGTTTGTCATAGATGGCTTTTATCATGTTGAGGTATGTTCCTTCTATTCCGAGGATTTCAAGGGCCTTAAACATAAATGGGTGCTGAACTTTGTTGAAAGCCTTCTCCGCATCTATTGATAGGATTTATGTGGTTTTTATTCTTCTGTTGGTTGTTGTGATGGATTACATTAATTGATTTTCTGATGTTGAACTGTCTTTGTGCTCCTGGGATAAAGCCCACTTGGTCGTGATGTATTTTTCTTTTAATGCATTGTTGGATTCTGTTAACTAAGATTATTTTTTGAGGATTTTTGCATCGGTGTTCATTAGGTAGATTGGTCTGAAGTTTTCTTTTTTGTGTGTTTTCTTTGTTAGGTTTTGTTATTAGTGTGACGTTGGCTTCGTAGAACGTTTGTGGTAGTTTTCCTTCTTTTTCAGTTTTTTGGATGAGTCTGTGTAGACACTAGTTCTTTTCAGAAAGTTTGGTAAAATTCATTTGTAAATCCATCTGGTCCTGGACTTTTATTTTTGGAGAGGGTTTTGATTACTTCTATTTCCTTGCTTGTAATTGGTCTGTTTAGTTGTTATATTTCTTTTTTGTTGAATTTTCCCCCTGTGGACTTGTGTGAATATTTGTTTGTCTTCTTTTCCCTGTTGTGTATTTTCTGATACTTTCTGTTTGCTGAGACACGGTGTTGCTATTATTGACCTTTTTGTTTGTTTGTTCTTTCTGGAATAGCTGAGGGACTTCCATACACTTCAGTTGTGGAGGATATTCTGAGTTGTGTTATTTTTCCCAGCGCCCACTGTGTGTAATTGTGTCTGTTGTCTCAGCTGGTAACAGTCAGTGGTCTCTTGTGGTTTTCAGCCTCTTCTAGTAACACAGTGAGTCCATGCTTCTGTAAGGTGTCTGTTGATCTTTGTAACTTTCGGGTGTCCCAGGTTCCCTCTATGCTTGGTGTGCCCGTGGTGGTTATGATGTTTTAGAAGTGTTGTAGGTCTCCCTGGAGCTGGGCCTGTGGCTGAGTTGGTGCTGGCTTTGTTCATTCTCTAAGTACTGTGAGCCTTTCTGGCTCACAAGTCTTCAGGTCTCTGATGTTAGGGTGGAATCTCCCCCTTCCCACAGGAGTGCAGGGGAGTGCCAGAGGGCTGAAATCCTCCCAGCTGAGCAGGCTGCCAGTCCTCCCTCTGAGCTTTCAGGACTCTCTGTGTCTAGTCCAGTCTCTCCCTGAGCAGTGCCTCCCCACTGCCAGAGGTCCTCTCACAGAGCCCAGCTGTATCTCTTTTAACTCCAGGGTTTTACCACATTTTTTGTGGGTAGATGCGGTAAGCAGGTAGACCCCTTAAGTCTCCCCATTTGAGGCCCTTCCTAGGGCCTCTGTATGTTGAATGTGCCCATGAAGATTGTTAAAATTGTTGCATTTTCCTGGGGTTGAGCCTGTGGTTGGGTCCTGTCT